CGGTACTGTGAAGTTCACTGAAAGTATTGGATGATAGTATCTGTCCTCTATAGCTAAGCCTAAAAATGCTCATAAACGGCTAGTGTGAGATAAGCATAAACTTTAACTTGTAAAAAAAATTTGTTTGTATCATTATAGACGTCTGAACAATCTACGCGATGATCTCATTGACGTGTGCAAAAACAAGGGACAGATTTATCACTGGCGAAACGAGGATTCTGCGAGAACATTTCTTTTCACCCTCCACCGAGATCATTTCAATGCTGAAGCTGTGAAAGTATGCTTCTCGTAAAGCCCTCTTCTTTGACAAATTCATTTTGTGTTGAACATTACACTCCATGTAAAAGAGAAGATCCCAATATTTTTGAAAAGTATTCTTAAAATCCAAAAAGTATTTTAACAAAATTCGGAAAACATGATGATTTTCATTTTTAAGGCTAAAAACAGCGTTACTTTGTAAAAAGTTGGCCTGCTCATTTTTCCTCTCCCATCCAAATTTATTTCTGAATTTAACAGCATTCGACTATAACATATTTTACGTTTCCAGCTGAAATGGGCATTCTATCTTGTTTTAAACTGCAAATTAAAATCGGATTCTTTTCATTGATTTTAGGTTTTTATGCAGCTGCTGGCATACGATCGACCGGACTGGAGGCTAGTAGCAGCCGAGTGTATCGCTTGTTTTTTGGAATGGAACAAACCGAAGTGTGTGCGCACGATTTGGAAACCACCTAAAAAAGTCGATTTTGATTTGGCTGTGAATTTCGGAAACTTTTTTTTCAGATTTCTTTTCAGGATTTTTTGATTGAGTGTTTTCTTTAGATCCCGGACCCGGAATTCAAATATGCGTGCGGCGTAAGGCCTGACAACTTGTGCCTCGTGTATGATTGTGATCGACTGCCAAAAGATGAGAAATCTTGGAACGAAACAATATTTGTGTCAAAGCCACACTGGGGTGGATATCAGTGGCCAAAGTATGTTTAACCTGCACGCCTACACCAAAACACTGCTTGAT